TACGTATATATGTGTGTATATACGTATATACACACATATATACGTATATACACACATATATACGTATATACACACATATATACGTATATACACACATATATACGTATATACACATATATACGTATATACACACATATATACGTATATACACACATATATACGTATATACACACATATATACGTATATACACACATATATACGTATATACACACATATATACACACATATATACACACATATATACACACATATATACGTATATACACACATATATACGTATATACACACATATACGTATATACACACATATATACGTATATACACACATATATACGTATATACACACATATATACGTATATACACATACACATACATATATACACATACACATACATATATACACATACACATACACATACACATACATATACATACATCTATACACACACACACACATATATACACTGTATATATACACACACACACAGTATATATATACACTGTATATATTTATATACTGTATATATGTTTATATATAAACATATTTATATAAACATATATACAGTATATATAAGTATATTATACATGTTTTGGGATGATGATGAAATGTGACTTTATTTAATTAATAATTCATCTGTTTGAATAAATGAGTTTAAAAGAACTTGAGTGTTTTCTGCAGAATCAACGATAACATTTACGTAACGACCAGAAGCACCTGAACGCACCAGCAGACGTCTCATTTCTTTCTTCGGTTCCCTGAATGCATCACAGTGACAGCAGGAGGCGGGGCCTAAGTTGTGACACAGCTGGCATCATATTACACAACCAATCAGCTGGCTCCGCTGTTGAGGTCTCTGTCGGGTCCACAGAGGGTTATTGATAAGGCATCGGTCCACTACAACCACTTCCTGTTCTCAACGGGTTCTTCAAAATAAAAGCACGGAAACAGTTCTTCAGTCTGTCAGAGTCAGGGCTGATCAACAGAGATTCACTGATCCATAACTGATCACCAGCATCAGTCTGGTGTCTGTCTGTGTCTCATTGGTTCTCAGTGAAACAGCTGATCGATGTAGATTCATGTAGATCAATACTCAGGAAGAAACGGGGACTATTTTCACCAGCGGATGAATCCACATGAGGCGCTCTAGTGAGTGTGTGTGTGTGTGATGAAGGATATTGGAAAAAATTCTGAACATGAAGATTTATACAGTGATTCATATTTCTATAATAATAATAACTGAGTTTATGGATCTAAGTGATGAACATTTACAGATATCTTTGTTCTCTGAAGCTGGTTCTGGACTAGATTCTACAGTCGATCTGGTTTCCAGGTGAAGTGAAGACTCTGTGGCCCCTCAGACAAGTCCTCTGACCTCTTGTGGGGCCCCGAGCATCAGCTTCCTTAGCAATCACTTGTTTGTTTGATATCAGAAATAAAATTGATCAGCCAATCACTGATCAATCCCCCTGATCAGCCGACAGACTGAGGACTAGACCTGGACTCTCAGGACGGGGTCTGTGGCGCTCTGCAGTCTGAACCTGGACTCAGTGGGGGGGGGCAGTCTGTCTGTGAGGGGGTCTCCTCCATAGGCCCCGCCTCCACCACTTGGAGCCCTCTGATTGGAGGGCTGGGTGGCAGATCGGCTCCTCCTGCTGTGGTTTTGATTTCAACAGAAACAGCTTTCTGATCGTCTTCACCTCCACCACCTCCACCACCTCCTCCTGCTGCTGCTGCTCCTCCTCCTCCTCCTCCTCCCCCTTCCATCCAGATCCCAGCCAGGACACTGACCTCTGCTGCTCCTGCTGTCCCCTGCCCTCCAGGTGCACCTCCTTCGTCCACGGTGTCAGCGGAGGAGTGCTGGTTGGAGGAGGACATAGCTTCAGTGATGATGGCCGCAGTCTGAGCGACCCAGTTCAGCTCCGACCTCACCTCCCCTCCACCTCCTGTCGCTGCTGGGGAGGAAGAGGTCTGGGGGTTAGTCTGAGCCTCCTGCTGCGTGCTGTTGGGTCCTGGTCCCGGTCCCGGTCCTGTTCCTGGTCCCGGTCCTGCAGCAGCAGCACTGTTGTTGTTGTTCAGGTTGTCCTGCAGGGCTGTCTGGTTTGCCTGACCCGCCTGCTGGTTCTGAAGCAGCATCTCCTGAATCCGGATCTGCTGCAGGATGGCAGGAAGCTCGTAGTGGTGGAAGAAGTAGATCATGGAGTGCTGAGGAAGAGGAAGAGGAGTTAATGACAGGAAGTGACTCCTTTCTGCTGAGGGAAGCATCGTCTACATTAAAGCGTCCTTCTCTTCTTCTTTCTCCTCTTTTCAGAAAGACATCTCCAAAGATGACATCATTGTTCTATAAAGTTTCAGTTTAACATGCGTCTCCTGTTCCTAACTGTCCTCCACACCATCATTATCTCCATCATCAATGATCATCATGAATATTAATATCATGAATGAGAACCCAGATCTTCATTCATGGATCTAATCCAGACCAACAGGTCGTCATCAGGCTAAAACCATCTCATTCATAAGTCACATACTTTGGTTCTTTGAGGTTTGATTTATATGAAGCTGTCTAACGACAGTGCTCTTAATATGAGATGACTCCGTATGAAGGTGATGAAGAGGACGGTGGTTCTGACCTGGATGAAGAGCCAGGAGGTGACCAGGGCCAGGCTGCTGTACTGCCCGTTGAAGCGGTAGTGATATGCGTAGAATGCAAAGTGGTAAAGATAGAAGAACCTGAGGAACAAAGACACGTTCATGTTGAAAACCATCCATCTTTATGCGAGTCCTTCACATATCTCGGTACAAAAATCTCTGGACCATCGACCGGAAGACGTGGACGTAGTCACACATTAGCTCGTAGAGTTCTGCTTTTTGGTCGTCAACATCTGGGCTTTTGGGACCAGAAGCGACAGGAGACAGTGGAGCTAAGTAGAGACCTGTCAATCACCGTGTAGCCCCGCCCTAAAGCATCCCCTGCTTTATTGTCTGTTTGACTCTAAATGGACCATAATGTACTAAATGAACATCATGCTGTATTGAAGAAGACTTGAAACTAGAGATTGAGACCATAAACTCATGTTTACTGAGGTAATAAATCAAGAGAGAAGTAGAGTCATTTTCTCATAGACTTCTATACAACCAGAGGAGTCGCCCCCTGTTGGACAGTAGAGAGAATGCAGCTTTAACAGATGAAGCTTTGACTTCACTTTAAAGAACCGGAGGTTGTCTCCTGCTTTGGATCAAGCCAGAAAAAGTGAAATTTTTTCAGATTTTTTATTATTATTATTATTATTATTGTAATTATCTCCTACACACTTTGTGCTACTACATTTGGTGGACATGTGAAGATATCTCGAAATGACCCCGACAGGTAGCGCTGCAGCAGCATCATCTACTATAAAGAAAGGAATCTCTGGTCTCTGTCATGAAATCTTAAGTAAAGAAGTAAAACATGAAACACCAAAATATGGTTACCTTTTGTACTACCTAGTCAGTGTTATTTCTGGTATGTGATTATTTGTTTCATGTATCACGTGGTCGCAATGATCAACACCGACTCGCCTGTCAGGTTTGTTTACGAGTCCAGAGAGCAGCTGAATGATCGTCATGCACTCGAAATCATCCCTCGCCACGTTGTTTCCACTGTGCTGCGATTGGTCCGTACCTCTGGGAGTGGTTTGAATTGAGCCAATGATGTGAGCCAGTGTTGGTCATGTGACTAACCTCAGCCAGTGGCGTTTGCTGGTATTGGTGTGACAGCAGATGGCGTCGTACTGATCGGCCAACCAGACGATGAGGATGATGTAGAAGGCTGTTGTCGTGTCGTTGAAGAACTCGGACATGATGGCCTCCATGCCTGATGACAGGAAGTGACACCAGCAGGTCAGGATTTTACTCTTTCAGCTGCACAAAACCTCCAACAAATCACTGGCTTCAGACTCCAGGAGAGACAACGTCTGATGACATCAAAAGGTATTTCTTATGAAGCTCTGAAATAAACCGTGGACCTAACAGCCTCAACTCGGGTCTCGACTGTCTAGAGTCTGGATTTAACTGCCTCCAGTCAGACCATGACTGCTTCTACTCAGGACTGTCTAGTCACTGCGGGGGACTAATTGGCGGACCTGGACCTCCAACCAATAGACAATTGAGAAGCCATTCCAGCCTTTACGGTACTCGTTCAGCGGTCCAGGAAACACACCGACCAATTGTATGCTTTGTAAATCACATCACGTGATGCTGCTCAGCCAATCAAATATGTGTATTCTGATAAACATCCTGAATCAAGTGAGGTTTACACACATGGGTAAGAGACCGAGTAGTACGTCAGTCAGTGAAGTTATTTCACATAACATTCTCCAAAGAGAGAAAAGAGTCTTTAACCAAGAATACAGACTCTTAAATGTTAATTCTTCACACGGGTAGTTCATAACCAGTATGTCTCATATGTTGAGAGACCGTGACGATTATTAGAAGCAGTAATATGAAGCGACACTACGAGACAAAGCACAACTCTTTAGAGCAAACGTACCCACTCACATCTGAAATGAATTCACAGAAAATAAACCTAAGAGCCCAATATGATCAGAATCATAACACATGAATTCACTTCCCAACAATGATGTAAACAGAGAGAATAGAGCTGAAACAAGTGGTTCAATTCATGATATAATATCTTCCCTTCACCACTTCACACCTGAATGACTTGAATTTAAAGCTGCAGGACAATTCAGTGAAATACATTTTTCGAAAATGAATTACTTTACTTTAAGATGCACATTTTTCTAAAGCTTTCTGTTATGTCAGTTATTCTTTAATCCAGCTCTTATTCTACTTGAAACAAGAGAAGAACATTTATTTATTAATAGAGTATTTATTATTTATAATTCATCCAGTTCAATTTGAAAACTGACAATAAATATTGTTGAGATATTATTCAATTGATCTGACAGTCAGTTGTTTTACTACATACAGACGTTAATACAACTGTTGGCTACTTTAATATATATGGAACTAAATCATAGAACAAGTTAGACATTATTGTGATGTTCTGGACCTCTAAATGGACCTCGTTGAATGTTAACTGAATACCCCTGATCTAGACTCTGGATTTAACTGCTTCCACTCGGGACTTGACATACTTGGATTCAGGTGGAACCCTGTAGCTTAACTGTTCAGACCAGGTTTGGCCAAATTTCAGCCTGGTCCTGTTTTGACTAGGTACTTGACTGGACTTACCAACAAGAGCCAGGATGACTGTGAGCAAAGGGGCTGCTGGGAAGGCGATAGTCATGTTCATCTCCAACATCTGAAGAAGATCCACTGAGGGGGGACAGACCGAGACCACGTCAACACACAGCTGATGGTTTAAAGACAGAGTTAATATATTCTGTACTAACACAAGTACTCTGTTGAAGTACTGAATCATATTATTTATTTAAAATGAAAAACGAATCAGTTATCAAAGTTCGCAAACTGGACCAGACTGAACTCAACTACAATAAACCTTTCTGGACTGGACTACAATGAACTGGTGTGGATTATACTGGACTGAACAATGAACTAGTGTGGATTATACTGGACTGAAGTGAACAATGAACTGGTGTGGATTA